TAACCCAACGGTTGGGTTAGTCCATATTTGACCCGCACTGGGTTGTATTTAACCCAGCATTTTTTAGAGTGTACCTACACGACTCCAAGCAATGACTCCATATTAACACCCTATTGTGCATTTCCAATAAATTATGTAAAACTGTTACATAATATGAACTGCTTCAAAAGCTGAGCTAAAATCGTTTCATATCCTGCATAATTCACCGTGTCACTGGTGTCAGATTCTTATTCTGGAGAACCATCAATATCCATTAGCTTGCAAGTGTACAGTAACCTACGGTAACCTTTGTAATCGCCTTTCAACATGTAAACAAAATAATCTAAACACTAACCAGAACGATTCGGACCTGATGCATAACCATATGTGATTTCATTCTGTCTAGAATTAAGAGGTGCCCTAGAAACCCTTGCGTTCTCGCATAAAAAAAAAGCTGAAAAACATATTAATATAAAGATTACGCACTGAATTTTCATGCATCCCAATAAAAATGCTTTACAAGAGCAGAATAAAGACTTACACCACAAGCCTAGAAATAATCCAGGAGACCATTGCGCTATGAGAGCGGCGTGCTGTCGACAGGGAGGAGTTTCCTTCGAGTCTGGTGTCGGCATTTATCGTTTGACAGACGCGTCTGCGCAGGCGCTCTGCTCTGAACGTGTGGGTTATAGATAATGGACAAAAAGAATAAACATAACGGACAAAAATAATACACGACCCATAAATAATTGTATGGGTCTGAAAACCCAGCGAGCTGCCTATCCACACAGCATTTTCATGTGCCTCAAATGCTGGTAAAGTAGACAGCTCATGTCACATGATGCCCAAACATGCTGTGCTGCCTGTGTAGGACTCGTAAGATTTCTGCCCGACACCAAAACTGTACAGAAGTTATAATAGGCTACTCTAACTCACTTATTTAAGCTCAGAGACGCCTGTCTTTGTGAAATAAACAGAGCTTCTATAGAGAAGTAACCTAGATTCAGAGTCAAAAGACACTCAGAAGATCAGGTTTCCTTCACACAGCTGGACAGAGAGCGAGTCAAAAGGAGAGAGAATCCCAAAAGACCGCGCTTAAGCAGCAGATAACAATACAGTCAACGAGATATATTACCGTTACTGTAAAAACCCTAATGCTATATAATAAATTATGATTTTAACAGATTACATTAGAACATCGGTTTCATCAGTGTTGTGAAATGTACTTTTTGCCTGTAAAATTGTATTAGTGTTATCAACATATTTTTCTAATATACAAAACAGTTTTGTCAAGATGTGAATGTTTTTCTACAACAGCAAAGGTCTGAAATGAAACAAAATAATCAATGCAGGGCTCCAGACTAACATTTGAGAGCAGTGGCACCAGCGCCACTAAGTTCTACAGAACTATGAGTATGAGAATATAGATAATTTAATCATAAAATTACTATTGTTTTGCATTAATAAGTGCAGTTACTAATAATATTACATGTTCATTTCTTGTTTATTTTTCTTTTGTTTATTGTTTATACAGATTTGACAGTAAAGCACTAAGCTTGAGTTAAGATGCATGCAAAATGTACTTTTATTAACAACAGTAACAGGTGCAAAATCACATTTTTATATAGAAAATGTATATATCAAAAAAAGTGTAACATTCTGACAAAATCTGATTTCTTGATGATTTGATATTTTATAATAGTGATTTTATAATTTCAAAATTGAGAGAAAAAGTAGAAATGAATGACTACTAAGCCAATAAGTGCTCCTCTGCTGCCCTCTACAGGTTATAATTGTGATTTGATGTATTTTTTTTTTATTTTACACAAGTGTTTGTTTACCACAAAGTATATTTTGGTCATCCCATTAAAAATAACATTCAAACTGGATCATTTTAGAGCTTAAAAAGTGCTGGAAATAGTCGTGTGAAATGCTTGAAACTCGACTCGACTGAAATTCGACTATTTCTACCACAACAGCATGGTTAGTTAGCGTTACTGCTTCTGGTTTCCTGACGTATGTCAGCGCTGTTTATCACAGAGAATTCTGTGCAGAATCTGAATGATTCTCACTAGATCTCGCAGCAACCTTATCACTGTGCGGCGAATTCAAAGGCTTCTCACTGGATCTCGCAGCACTGTGCATCTGTGCAGTAACAGTGTCGCGAAATCAACTTTGGCTCCCGTGTAAAGCTGTTCTGAGCTCGGGCAAGTTTGTTTGCGTCGTGGTCCGAGCTGATAGCGCGGTTTAGTTTCGCTTGCCGTGTGATGTTTCTCAAATGCAACAGAAATGGCAGCGCTTATGAGTTGGACAACGCGGTGGTCGCGCCAGTGCGACTGCTCACAAAAATTAGTCGCACCGGCAGAAAAAATGGTCGTAAAATGCGACCATTTGGTCGCAGTCTGGAGTCCTGCAATTTGGTTCATTCAGGAAATTATAAACGAGTCAACATACTGAGCCTGGATCTGTACAAAATCCATGTACTTGTCACTCCAGAGTGCACAATTTATGCCAAATAAGCAGATATTAATGGGTCATGCCATACTAAATTGGTCATGCCAAAACTAATTATGAAGCCACAATGCACAAAGAGTAGTTGTTTCATATGGAGAGTAGACAAATTAGAATGATAGCAAACTGACAGCAGACCAATATTAAAATATCCAACTTAAAATATAACATAGGTCTGGTTGAAGAAACTATTTCATAAATTGTCAGCCATTTACATCATTAGGGGAAAACATCTGTCTTGTAAGCATTTCAGTCATCTAAAAGCAAAAGCATAGTAAAAATAAAATACTCATAATTAATAACATACACAAAAATGTGAGGGGTGTACTCACTTCTGTGAGATACTGTAAGTGGATTTAAACCATAACAAAAGTAGCAGAAACAAAGACAGAAATGCGATCAGCTCATTGAAGTCTGAAACAACTAGTGTGTAAAAGCCAGTCAGTTATTGACCACAACCATTCCTTTATTCCGAAAGCCTTTTATAACTTGCCAACAACTTTACTTACAAAATAACAATGCAAACAGATATATTTTTATATTCAGTATTTGTACAAGATTTACAAGTAATGGCTTCCATCAAGTTGTCCTACTCAGTAAAAAACAATTTACCAGATATAGGAAAGAACTAGTCACTTCGCCTAAATAAGGCTTGAGACAAACGATTTCGACCAACGATATGACGTCACTACACAATAGATTCTTGGACAAGCTGCTTAACTATAGGCATAGATCCAAATCAGTGGAGTCAGAATATCTAGAAATAAAATGGGATTAAGTAAAAAGCGAATGATTTGAAATAGCCATCCACCTGCTACTATATAACAACTAAATATCAGACTTCACTGTTCTTTATTATATGTGATATAGGGTTCCTTTTATTTCAATATCCACTATTAATATAGCTTTGTTCATTTTATGTGAAGTCCGAATTTAGTGCTAAATTTAATGTACCAAAGTGTCTTTATGGGTAAGAAAAGCTACAGAGGAAGTAAGATATGTTGTCTATGCCTATAGAGCTCAAGGGGAAAAAACAGGTCTTTTAGCTCCTAAGCGCTGCTAGCCTGGAATGCATCTCCTCGATATCTTCTTCTTCTTCTTCTTCTTCTTCCCCTTCTGAGGCTGCCGTGGCTCCAATCGGCACTGGTTCAGGCAGGGCATCTGTGACTTTTCTGGGTGCTTTTCCAAGTGCACCTGTTATTAAACAAAGCAATAATTTCATCTTTGGTTCATATCTATGAGTGCATAATGATAAAATGTTTTGTGCGGTAGCACTTTTCATCATAAGAAAAGGCTGGGGAGGTGACATAAATTGGCCATTTCCACATTCTACACAAAAATTGGTTTACAGGGAAAAAAAACAGCAGCTGTGGTTGCCCACATTAGGCTTTACAAATTGAACTTAAATTTACAGTAAAAAAAGTATATTTCATTAATATAATGTTAATATACCAACCTACTGAAGTACTAAAATCTGTTTTGTGCCTCTATAATACACTGACAACCACCAAAAACACTCGCTGTAAAAAAACACTCACTGTAAAAAAGTGTTTTTGTAAATAAAACGAGAGTATGTTTTACAATAAAATACTATTTCAATTTTTCTTTAATAAAATTTCATGTTTAATTAAATGCGTTATCTGCCATTTCCTTGTAATGTTTTTTAACATTTACTAGCAATTTCTGGGTGAAAATAGTTTCATCACCCATTTTGTTTCAGTGCAGGTAATAATGAGAGAGCCACATCAATCAAAACAAGTATCTTTACCAGAAACTGAGGTAAATGCATCATGTCATGGTACACTGCCACATGACACAAAAATAATGCAAAAGAATTAACAACACAAGATTTAACATAAAACCATAATGTAAACAAAGAAGAAACAGTTATTTAAACTAGATAAAAAGGTTCGTCAAGACAAACCTTAAAGTTGGCTTGGGAAAGCCAGACTAGAAAGTTTGAAAAAGTTTGAAATCTCTGGGATTTTAACCAGGCTGTTCATGGCCTTCATGACCTCTGTGCTCTTCTGCATGGCACCTGCCACTCTTAATACAGCTGTAATGGGAAACCAATGAACAAATGTATGAGTAACACTTTATATAATAAGGTTAATATTATTGAATAATTAAGTTGTTGAATATATGCTGCATTGGTAGTGAAAGAACAGAAGTATGTTTGCCCACAAGGCTGAGAGGACGCGAACATTAGCAGCACCTCCAGCGGTTAAAACAATGTGAGTCCGACCCAAATGTTTAATGTCACTATTGTTACAATATATTTGCATTAGTTTATATACAATTGGTCATCTAGCCCACGAGATGCGCCGCTGCTGTGTTATGCATTCAGAATATTAGAGAAATATAGAAGCTCAATGCGGAGAAGATCTTGATTAGGTTAAAACCGAAACCAAGCCATTAACACAGAACGCATATTCAGCGCATTTTTTAGACGGACAAATATAACTGCTGCACTCGCGTCTCACACAAGAGATGTATAGAAAGCTATGCAAAGTTAAAACAGTTTAAACTTTTAGAAAACACGTCACGAATTTGTGGAGGTTTATTC